AGATGGGTTCAAAGTGGGGGTGGGATTGCATCAGGGCTCTGAATGGAGATGAGCAGGGCAATGATGTTCATGGGTGTGATTTGTAACGAGCAGGATGGAAAATAGGAAGTTTGATTTGAGTGGTTTGGAGATGTGCAGAAAAGGTGTGGTGGATAGACTTGCAAAGGATCCTGACCATGGAGCTCCCACACAGGAGGAAATCAATCAGAATCTGAATACTTTATTAATCTTTAAAGAAATTATGGGTTACAACAGGCTGCATGCTGGTTGACGCATGCACACTAACAGAGGAACCCTTCCAACCATACCTACATTGCACAAACATTACATTGGGAAGACAGGTCGGAGAGGTAGGCTGATAAGGCTGATAAACAATGAAAATGCACTACATGAGCAGAGAAGGGGGGAGCAGTTTGAGAACAGGGGAAAAAAAACACTTCAGCACAGAAAAGCACAAATCTAGTGCGAACAGACTGCATCTGATTTTACAGTTGTTTTTGAGGTCCATCACTGGTCGCCAGATCTATCAATTTCCTTTTGAAGAGCCATGAGCTTCTCTTCCAAGATCTTATCCATATTACGTTCAATGAGTACAGCCTAAGTACTCACAGCCATCCCCATCGCTTCAGTCATAGCAGCTAGCCTTGTGGGGTTTTGAACAGCTGCAACTGCTTTTTTATTTATTTATTTATTTTTAAATATCTTTGATAAGCCAGGGTCAAACCAGCTCTGATCAGCAAGAAGCTTGTTACCATGGTTTAGAATAGGGTAGAGGTCTTCGATGTCTTCAATCGAGTCCCGCCAGGCATGCAACGCGCCAATTCCACCACCCATTCATCGTATATCCGGCAGAGAATATCCCTCCAGGACAGTCGGCTTTTCCAAACCCAGGCTTCTCATCAAGAAGACTGTCAATTGCATTTAGGGACCAGTTGATCAAGTGCATAATTCTTCTTTAGGTTTTAGTGAACAGGACTGAGAGATTCTTCTGGGGGTTAGAGTTAGATGAGTAGACAGAAGACATGAAGCCAAGAAAGGAAAGATAAAGGAGGGAGAAAGATGCGGCCTTCTCTGTCAAGAGCCAAGAGAGAAGAAATGAGCAAGACTACTAAGGAGGTTCACAGATGTAGTGAAGAACGACATGTAGATGGTTCATGTGTCGGACTTCACTTCACCTATACAAATTAGTATTACCAGAGACTTTTTGTTTTGTTGTTTTTAAAGAGATTATTTTGGACTCGTGTACTCCCAGTGCCAGTCCCAAGCCTGGATAAAGAGGACGCTTGCATCAGGATTACTATTTTGGATAATTAGATAATGATATGTAAGCAAAATTAATTTCAGACTAATAAACAAGCAACCAGTAGATTTTAGGGTGTGTATTATCTCAAGCATAGTTAGTGAAACAGCTTTGTGCCAAATCCAAGTAGACAAATCATAAAAACTATGTTAATCACGCTACATGTTTTCAAACCATCATTAAGGTATTTACTCAACTGCTGAGACGCCGCCATCAGGAAGCATTTATATCTATTCTTTGGCAGTTAGACAATTCGTTTTTCACAACTTTAACTTACTGTTGCCTTAGTTGTTGTTGTTGTTGTTGTTTTTTTAAAGAACAAGGCAAAACCAGCTACTTGCAAAACAGGAATTGTAATAACTGCAAACTTTTTTTGGCCTTCATTATTTTTCTTGTTCCTCTCCATTTCAAAATGGTGGAATCTGGCAAAGTGTGTCACAGTACAGTGTAGGCAGAATGAATAGTCTCACTTAGGCA